TGGCTCACTGCAACCTCTGCCTCCCGGGTTCAAGTGATTCTCCTGCCTCAGCTCTCAAGTAGCTGGGATTACAGGTACGAGCCACCATGCCAGACTAATTTTGTATTTTTAATAGAGACAGGTTTTGTTCATGTTGGTCAGGCTGCTCTTGAACTCCTGACCTCAGGTGATTCGCCTGCCTCGCCCTTCCGAAGTGCTGGGATTACAGAAGTGAGCCACTGCACCTGGCCTGGAAGTTGTTTTTTTAAGCCCAGCTCATTTGTGAAAATATCACATGCTCCTTATTTTCATACCCAAATTTCTCATATCCATAAACTTCCACATTTTATTTCTCTCAGAAGCATACAATCTCTTTCTAGATTTCCTCCTCCTGTCGAAGGTATTTTCTTCTTTTGTTTAACATAAATGAATAAATCTAGTCTATTATTACTTAACAAAGTTTTTTAAAACTCAGTGTGTAAACCTATCTCTCTGCTCTTTTAACTTCCTATACTTTTTTGTACAGCATAACTCTCTTAAACTTGAACTTATACTATTAGTAGCTTATCTGCAAAGAGGGAGAAAGGGTATCATGGAGTTGGGAGCTCCAGAGGAGGGAAAGGTTTTGGGTCATGGGGGAATGCCATTGAGAATTGACAATGGGTGCTGAGAAGGGCAATCAGAATCAGTGGAAATAAGACAACAGGAATTTGTGCTGAACATGGCCACGTGGTTTCATGACTCTCCACAATAATGTGGAAGCTCAGAGGCAAAGGGAAAAAAATAACGGAGAGACCAGGGCTGATGGCAGGCATGGTAAACCTGGTCATGCCACTCCTCTGCTTACAGTCCTTCAGAGGCTTCCCATTTCTTCAAGAAGACCTTCCAGATCCTTCACCATCTGGCAATACCCATTTCTTCAGCTTCCTTGTGTATCACTCTCCCCTTGGCTTTCAAACTTCCATCACCCTGGCCGACTGTTTTCATACTCACGGCTTTTGCACATTCTGTTCCTTTTAGCCATGTGTTATCCTCACTTTCCACCCTTTGCTTCAGCTTAAAAATCACTTCCTCAGAAAAGCCTTTCCTGGCCGGGCGCAGTGGCTCATGCCTAATCTCAGCACTTTGGGAGGCCAAGGCAGGTGGATCACCTGAGGTCAGGAGCCCAAGACCACCCTGGCCAACATGGAGAAACCCCATTTCTAGTAAAAATACAAAAATTAGCTGGGTGTGGTGGTGCATGCCTGTAATCCCAGCTACTCAGGAGGCTGAGGCAGGAGAATCGCTTGAACCTGGAGGCGAAGTTGCGGTTGGCTGAGCCGAAATCACACCACTGCACTCCAGCCTGGGTGACCGGAGTGACAGGAGCGAAACTCCGTCTCCAAAAAAAAAAAAAGAAAGAAAGAAAAGGCTTTCCTGACCCCTAATCCAATCAGAACTCTATCCATATAGTCTCTCAACATGTGCTTCTCTTTTATCGGATCTGTCACAATTACATGTTTATTTGTATAAATCCCCTTTTCATACATAGAAATAGCTCTGTAGACGCAGGCATGTGGTCTGTTTTGTTCACTGCTGAATTCGCAGCACCTAGCTTGAGTACCTGTCACCAACAGGAACAGGTGTTCAATAAATGTATTGAATAGGTTAATGAACGGCAGGAAGATTTAGGTATAAGGCCTTGGGCAAGTTTTTATTTTGTCGTTTGTTTATTTTAACTAGATCTTCATCTCCTATCTGTTAGATGGGGATAGTAAGAAAAACCAGCAACCTCAGAACTGCTGTGTGAATGAAAAAAGACAATGCATGTAGCATGCTTCGCATGGTGCCTGTCACATGATGAGGGCTAGGAAATGTTCCTTCTTATTATCCTCATTAAAAATCAGCTCTCTGCGCAGACGGAACTCTCATACATTGCTGGTAGCAATGTGAAAGTGATATGACCACTTTGGAAAACAGTTTACCAGTTTCTTAGAAAGTTAAACACAGACCTATCATATAACACGGCAGTCCCACGTCTGCATATTTACCCAAGTGACATGAAAACTTATGTTCACACAAAAATCTGTACATGAATGTTTATAGCAGCTTTATTCATAATTGCCAAAAACTGGAAAAACCCATATGTCCTTCAGCCAGGGACTAGATAAACAAATTGTGGTGCATTCATACAGTGGAATACCACTCAGCAAGAAGACGTGAGCTACAGATCCATGCAGCAACACGGATGAGTTTTAAATACTTTATGACAGATGAAAGGAGCCAGACTGAAAAGGTGTCATACTGTATGATTCCATCTAGATGATATTCTGGAAATATCAAAACTATAGGGATAGGCCGGGCATGGTGGCTCATGCCTGTAACCCCAGCACTTTGGGAGCCTGAGGCAGGCGGATCACCTGAGCTCAGAAGTTTGAGACCGGACTGCCCAACATGGTGAAACCCCGTCTCTACTAAAAATACAAAAAGTAGCCAGATGTGGTGGCGGGCACCTGTAATCCCAGCTACTCAGGAGGCTGAGGCAGGAGAATCGCTTGAAGGTGGAGGTTGCAATAAACTGAGATTGCACCACTGCACTCCAGCCTGGGTGATAGAGCAAGACTCCATCTCAAAAAACAAAAAACAAACAAACAAAAAACTATAGGGACAGAAATCAAGTCAGTGGTTGCCGGTGGATGGGGTGAGGCAAGAGGGAATTTGGGAGAATAATGAAATTGTCCTATAAACTAGATTGTGGTAGTAGTTACATGGTTATATGCATTTATTTATTTCTTTATTTTGTTTGTTTTGTTTTTTGAGATGGAATCTTGCTCTGTCACACAGGCTGGAGTGCAATGGTGCAATCTTGGCTCACTGCACCCTCCGCCTCTCGGGTTCAAGTGATTCTGTGCACCAGCACGGCAGGCTAATTTTTGTATTTTTAGTAGAGAGAGACGGGTTTTACCGTGTTGGCCAGGCTGGTCTCAAACCCCTGACCTCAAGTGATCCGGCAGCCTCGGCCTCCCCAAGTGCTGGGATTATAGGCGTGAACCACCACACCCAGTCATTTATATGCATTTATCAAAACTCATTGCATCATAAATTGCAAGAGCAAATTTTACTGTATGTAAATATCTTAATTTTTTAAAGGAAAAAAAAGTCCAAAATAAGTAGCTATAATTACCTTTTCCTTTTAGAAAAAGGCATTCATATTTTCTAAGCATGAAAGAACTACAGGCTCACTGTAGACATTTGGGAAAATGTACAAAGGATGTACATTCATCACGTGCAGAAAAGTAGTATTTCCTTGCTGTCAGTTTTATTGGTACAGAATACACACAAAGCTGGGACCATGCTGTGCATTTTTTAAATGAAATTATACGTTTTGCTTTCTGAAATATATTGTGCACATTTTTCATGTCATTAATTTTCAAAATCATGATTTTATGAATCAATAATATTTTATGTTTACTTAAGAGACAGAGTCTCACTCTGTGGCCCAGGCTGGAGTGCAGTGATGCAAAGCAAGCGTAGCTCACCACAGCCTCGAACTCTGGGCTCATGCAATCCTCAGTGGTGGGATGAGAGCTAAACCCCTGATATTCAGTCTCAGAAAGTCAGTAATTCCCTGCCTCAGCCTCCGGGGCAGCTGGGGCCGCAGGTCTGCGCCACTGCGCCAGGTTCAATTTATATTTTATTTTGTCTTTTTTTTTTCTTTTTTTTCAGTGTATGTTTTTAAGCATTCCTTTGGTGTTAGAAATTACATTGTTTATATAATTATTGTCCATTAAAAATAAAAGAAAAAATCATTGTGCTCCAATTTTTTACTTTGAGCAACTCTGATAACAACAACAAAAAATGTCCAGTGGCGCCAACGCGTTTCCCTCCTGGAGTTTTGCGGTTCACCTGGTGGAGCCAGTCTTCTTGGGCTGCAATTCCCTCGTTGTTTTCAGCGTCTGCAGGAAAGGTGGTTCCACAGGGCGATGGGTGATCTGGCTTCTTTGTTCCTTTGTGGGGGTAAGGGCTGGGCACCTCACTATTTCCTGTATTACCAGCTTGAATTTGCATCGCGCTGTTAATATTTAATCCTCTCCACATCCATGCGGGGTAGTAATTTGTTCCAGATTACACAGCTTATCAGTGGTGGACTATTCGGGACTTAGACCCCTGATATTCAACCTCAGTAAACGTCTCCCCAGCTCCAGGACGCTGCGTCATCTGGCTTTAAAAAAGACGTTTCTGGCCCGGCGCGGTGGCTCACGCCTGTCATCCCAGACTTTGGGAGGCCGAGGTGGGCGGATCACGAGGTCCGGAGTTCGAGACCAGGCTGGCCAACATGGTGAAACCTCCTCTCTACTAAAAATAAATGAGCCGGGCGTGGTGGCACATGCCCGTAATCCCAGCTACTCGGGAGGCTGAGGCAGGAGAATCGCTTGAACCCGGGAGGCAGAGCTTGCAGTGAGCCGAGATCGCGCCACTGCACTCCAGCCTGGGCCACAGAGCGAGACACCAGACACCGTCTCAAAAAAGAAAAAAGAAGGAAAGAAAAACAACAACGACCAAAAAAACGTTTCTCCCCATACTGCGCAGAGCCCGGCGCACGGGGAATTCCTCTCTATCGAGTGGACGCTGTCCCGTCCTGCGAAGGTCCCTGGCGACACCGCCACGTGCCAGCTGGGATCACGTCGTCCCCACGGCCGGGACACCCGCTGCCACTGACCGAGCGGCCCCGGGAGCTGAGGGGTCGCCGCGGCGCTGCCCGCGGAGGCTGTGGACTGTGGGTCGCGACGCCGCCGGGCCGACTTTCACCCGGGCGTGCTGCTGGGGGCCCCGCCCGGCCCCAACCTCGCGGTCCTCAGTGCGGGGGGCGCGCCTTGGGGAGCGAAGAGCCCGCGCCATCCAGAGGACGCGCTGAGGACACGCGCGGCCGCCGGGGTAAAGCGTTGCCGGGGAGACCCGGGACCTGACAGGAACGTAGCCCCTCTCACTCCGCCGCCATCCCACAGTTCCCCGGTCCCGGAAGTGCCCTGGCCTCCCGGAAGTGCCGCAGCGGCTGACAGAGCGGCTGACGGAGCCGGGCTCGTCAGGTCGCTGCTGCGAGGGGGTTGCTGTGCTGGGGCCTGGGGGGCGGCTGGAGGCCTGAGTGGGGCTCGCGGCGGGGGTCGGCAGGGGGCCGGGTGGCGGAATGATGGAGGAGGAGGAACTGGAGTTCGTGGAGGAGCTGGAAGCCGTGCTGCAGCTCACGCCCGAGGTGCAGCTGGCCATCGAGCAGGTGAGCGTTCCGCCCCTCGGGAGGGGAGACGCGAGCGCGGGCGTGGGGAGGCCGCGGCGGGCGCACGGAGGGCCGGGGCCCGGGGCAGCGGGGAAGGTGAAGTGGGGAGGTGGCCCGGGTGAGAAGGGGTGTCTGAACCAGGAGGAAAGGAAAGGGAACCCTTTCTAGGCTGCGATAGTCTTTGGCGAGGGCGGGGGGTCCTGGTGGTTTTGGGGAAAAGGAACTGTGCGCCGAGAGAGGACGGCGCGAGGAGAATGCGGGCCTTGGGTGGCATCTTCAGATTCTGGGGACTGCGGGGGCTTCATTCATTTACCAGGCTCGTGCCAACGCCGCGGTTTCGCAAGCTGGCCCCTCGCGAGTGGCTTGGAACTGGGGGGAGGGCATGACTTTGATTTCTGACGCGGATGGCAGAGCAGAGAGAAAGGGTTGAAAAACGACATCGTTACCGTTCTTAAAAGGCTGAGAGTTCCTACCGTTGAATCGTTTGGGTGAGGTTGGAGAATACTCCCAAGGGGTCTCTTTTCCCTGCAGGAACCGTTTTTTTTTTTTAAGATGGAGTCTTGCTGTGTCGCCCAGACTGAAGTGCAACGGCGCGATCTCGGCTCACTGCAACCTCCGCCTCCCGGGTTCAAGCGATTCTCCTCCCTCAGCCTCCCGAGTAGCTGGGATTACAGGCGCCCACCGCCACGCCTGGCTAATTTTTGTATTTTTGGTGAAGACGGGAGTTTCACCGTGTTGGCCAGGATGGTCTCGAACTCCTGAGCTCAAGTGACCTGCCCGCCTCGGCTTCCCAAAGTCCTGGGATTACAGACGTGAGACCCCACGCGCGGCTCTGCCTGCAGGAACTCTTCCCTTTGCAAGTTTATTTAATTTTTAAGGCTAACGATATTAGAAATGGGGATTTTTATTTTATTTTATTTTATTTTTTTGAGACGGAGTCTCGCTCTGTCGCCCAGGCTGGAGTGCGGGGGTGCCATCTCGGCTCACTGCAACCTCCGCCTCCCAGGTTCAAGCTATTCTCCTCCCTCAGCCTCCCGAGTAGCTGGGATTACAGGCACCTGCCACCACGCCCGACTAATGTTTGTATTTTTAGTAGAGACGGGGTTTCACCATGTTGGCCAGGCTGGTCTCGGACTCCTGACCTCAGGCGATCTACCCGCCTCGGCCTCCCAAAGTGCTGGGATTACAGGTGTGAGCCACCGCGACCCGTCAGAAATGGTGAATTCTAATACTGCAAGGTATTGCTCCTGATAAAGGGAGAAAATCTTCCTTAAAGGAATTGTCATGAAGTTTTATGATTTAAGAAAGGGATTTATGATTGAGGAAATGGACAATACCATTATGTCTTATTTAATGGCCCCTGAGAAGCTCTTTTCTTTTCTTTTCTTTTTTTTTTTGAGACGGAGTCTCGCTCGGTCGCCCAGGCTGGAGTGCAGTGGCGCAGTCTCGGCTCCCTGCAAGCTCCGCCTCCCGGGTTCGTGTCTAAGTTAAACATGACTTCCACTGTACCAGTAGTTGACATATGTTGGCTCTTAATACTTACCGTGGGCCTGCCGCTGTACTAAGTAATGTATTGTCCCATTTATAGAGGTGTGTGTGTACGTGTGTGTGTGTTTGAGACAGGGTGTTGCTTCTCATCTACCTCCCCTTGATGTGGTAGAAGGCTTCAGCTTTTCTAACAGTTGTCTTAGAAGACATTTTGATTCTTTGGCTCTGTATTTCTTTGGAAGGCTTCTTCAGAGATGAAGTTGCTTCCCACAGTTATAACTCTATCAAGCTGGTGAGACCCAGTGTCCAGCAGATAATTTGGCCGCTTGTATTGTCCACCTTGTTGCATGTTCTTCAGGTTGTTAGGGAGTTAGCTATATTTCTCAGAGGTGGACTGTTTTTGAGACAGGATCTCACCCTGTCACCCAGCTTAAAGTTCAGTGGTACAGTCTTGGCTCACTGCAACTTTGCCTTCTGGGCTCTGGTGATCCTCCCACCGCAGCCTCCCAGGTAGCTGGGACTACGACAGGCATGTGCCATGGCGCCCAGCTAATTTTTTTTGTAGAGATGTGATTTCGCCGTGTTGCCCGGGCCAGTCTCCAACTCCTGAGCTCAAGCGATCCACCCAGCCTTATTTTTGTTTATTTATTTATTTATTTAATTTGTTTTGAGACAGAGTCTTGCTCTGTCGCCCAGACTGGAGTGTAGTGGTGTGATCTTGGCTCACGCAACCTCCACCTCCTGGGTTCAAGTGATTCTCCTGCCTCAGCCTCCTGAGTAGCTGGGATTACAGGTGTGCACGACACCCAGCTAATTTTTGTATTTTTAGCAGAGACTGACCTCAGGTGATCCACCCGCCTTGGCCTCCCAAAGTGCTGTGATTACGGGTTTGAGTCACCATGCCTGGCCCTTTATTTTCCTTTTAATTGACAAATTAAAATTATATATATATATATATTTATGGTATACTACCTGTTTTTATATATAATCCTCTCTTTCTATATAGGTGTTTCCAAGCCAGGACCCTCTAGATCGAGCAGATTTCAATGCTGTCGAGTATATCAATACCCTGTTCCCAACAGAGCAAGTAAGTAGAGTTTCAGGTTTCCTTCCTTTCAGCGGCTTCTGGCGCATCCTGGGTGTCATGCTTCGTGTGCTACACTAGATCATCTATGAGCCCTTGAAAAACAAGGGAGAGTCAAATTGAACTCAAACTCCATCGTCACCACTTGGGGCAGTGAGCTACACTGTGTTGGAATGGAATTCATTGAATAGTGAACATATTAATAATAATTGTACCCTTGGGTTGTGAGAGTCCTCCCAAATTTTCTGTTGTAATGGAAAGTGGAAGGGATTTTTATAATGTAGTAGGGAAAGGTGGGGGTGAGGCAGACAGGATAAGCCCAGAATCATGAAGCCACTTTCACCTTTATTTCAAGATGTAAATTTTTATTTTTATTTATTAGTTTTTTTGAGATGGAGTTTTGCTCTTGTCACTCAGGCTGGAGTGCAATGGCATGGTCTCGGCTCACTGCAGTCTCTGCCTCCCAGGCTCAAGCGATTCTTATGCCTCAGCCTCCTGAGTAGCTGGGACTATAGGCACTCACCACCACGCCCGGCTAATTTTTGTGTTTTTAGTAGAGACGGGGTTTCACCATGTTGGCCAGGCTGGTCTCGAACTCCTGACCTCGTGATTTGCCCGCCTCAACCTCCCAAAGTGCTGGGATTACAGGTGTGAGCCACTTTGCCCAGTGTCAAGAGACAAATTTTTAGGCTTTATGTTGTATTATTTTTTGTCTGGTGATTTGCCTGTAGAGATGGATTTTCTTTCCAAATTGGTTTTTGGGTGTTTGGGTGAGGAGTAGACCAGAACTGGAAGCAGCAGAGTTGGGAGAAGGGCAGCGAGAGTCCCGCTTAGTTTTCATTTCTTCAGTCAACATTTGTTCAGTAGGTGCCTGTCATGTGTTGTCAGTCACTGTGCCAGGTGCTGGGGGTACAGAGATGAATAAGATCCAGTCCATGCCCTTGAGGTGTGCAGGATCAAGTGGTGGGAGACCCTGGTGAATGCCGTAAGTGACGATGGGACGGTACGGTAAGGAAACAAAGACCAGTTCTTCCAAGGAAAATGACAACTTCAGAGAGGAGGTAGCCTGTCTGCCAAGCTTGAGAGATTCATTTATGTATTCATTTAGTAAAACGTAGCCGTCGTTTATTAAATGTCTACTAAGTGTCAGGTACTATTTTTAGAAACAAGGGAGAAATGTAAACATGACAGATCTGGTCTTGGTCTCATGGAGTCTAGTGTAGGGAGGAAGACAAGAAATAAATCAAGAGATACACTATAGCTGATCAAACATGGTGGCTGTGATCCCAGGCAGGTTCCCTGACAGAGCATGATGCATGGGCAGGAGCTCCTTTAGATAAAGGAGCTTAATGGGAAGCTCTCTATGAGGTGGTTCCTTCTAAACTGAGACCTGAGGGACAGGGAGGAGTCAAGCTTGCAGCAGTCTGGCAGGACAGTATTCTAGACAGAGCCAGCAGCCAGGTATCTCTTCCAGGATGACGAGGGAAGAAAGGTGTGGGCGGAAAGCAACACAGGTGCCGAGGGAAGAGACTGAAGGCACAACCTCTTCCAATATGATAAAGGAAATAGTTAGAATAAGAAAAGTTATAATAGAAATAGGATATAGAGATTATTATATATGGATATTATCAATCATTAGTCTTTAGTATTAATCTTTGTTTCATTATTATAACCAAAGAAAAAGCAGGCCATACAGAGTTAGGAGCTGAAGGAACATTGTAAGAAGTGACCAGAAGACAAGAGTGAGAGCCCTCTGTCATTCCTGTATAAGGGCCGCTTGAAGGCATCTTGGTCTAGCGGTAGCGCCAGTGCCTGGGAAGGCACCCGTTACTTAGCGGACTGTGAAAGGGAGTCTCCCTTTCCCTGGGGGAGTTAGAGAACACTCTGCTCCACCAGTTGGCCTGCCCGCAGTCGTCCGGAGGCTTAAATGTCCCCCTGTGGTGCTGTGCTTCAATGGTCACGCTCCTGGTCCACTTTCCTGTTCCGTCTGTACACCTGGCTCCTCCTTTTAAGTTCTTAGAAGATAGCAGTAGCAGAATTAGTGAAAGCATTAAAATCTTTGATCTTTCTGATGAGTGCATAGAAAAAATGCTGACATATGCTGTCCTCCCTCTCTGCTTCAGCTACCACAAAGGGAAGGGCCCCCTGTCACGTGGACATGTGACTTGCTTGACCTTATCCATCAGTTGAGATGACTCACACTCCTTTCCCTGCCCCCTTGCCTTGTATGCAATCCATAGCAGTGCGTCCAGGCATTCGAGGCCACTATTGGACTCCGCGCACTGGTGGTGGTGGTCTCCTGGGCCCAGCTGTCTTTCCTACTACTTCTTAGTTCTGTGTCTTTCTTTCTACAATCTCTCGTTTCCGCACACAAAGGGAAAACCCACAAGACCCCGTAGGGCTGGACGCTATGGAAGGCCCTTCTAAACACAGGACCAAGGCGCAGAAACAGGAGACCCAAGATGTGCACCGTGAACAGAGACTCGCAGGAGATGAGGCTGAGGAGGGAGAGCAAGGATCCTGGAAGATCTGTGTCCTCTAGGCTTATGGTCGCCAGTTTTTTGGAGACCACATGCCTCTCAGTGAAATGCTTTTTTTCTTTCTTCCTTTTTTTTTAAAACAGAGTGTTACTCTGTTACCCAGGCTGGAGTGCAGTGGCACAATCATAGCAGCCTTGAACTCCCGAGCTCTAGCGCTCCCCACACATTGGCCTTCTGAGTAGCTGGTACTATAGGCGCATGCCACCACACACAGCTAATTTTTAAAATTGTTTAGTAGAAACAAGATCTCACTATGAAGCCCCGGCTGGTCTTGAACTCCTGAGCTAATGTGATCCTCCCACCTCGGCCTCCCAAAGTGCTGGGATTACAGGCATGAGCCACTGCACCTGGCCCAAATATTTTTCACAGAACTGATTTTCTTTCTTTCTTTTTTTTTTTGAGACAAAGTCTCATTATTGTCCCCCAGGCTGGAGTGCAATGGCATGATCTTGGCTCACTGCAACCTCTGCCTCCTGGGTTCAAGTGATTCTCCTGCCTCAGCCTCCTGAGCAGCTGGGATTGCAGGCACCCGCCACCACACCTGGCTAATTTTTGTATTTTTAGTAGAGACAGGGTTTCACCGTGTTGGCCAGGATGGTCTCGATCTCTTGATCTTGGGATCTGCCCACTTCAGCCTCCCAAAGTGCTGGGATTACAGGCGTGAGCCACCGCACCTGACCTGACTTGCTTGTGTAATTTTAAATATTATTTGTTACTTGCTCTTACATAACCTTTACTGCAACTGTAATAGTAATCTTTACTGGATATTTCCTGTGTACCCGACACCATTCTAGGCACTAAACAATGATGAACTCTCCACTTTGTTATCCTTCTTATTTAACAGTGAGAATAACGAGGCACAGAAAGATAAAGAACGCTCAGCTTCAATGTGATAGCGTTGCCATGAAGGAAGGATGCCAAATACAGTGACAGCAGAACCCAGGGCCTTACTTGGTCATGATGGATTGGAAAGGCTTACTCCCTTGAGGAAGTGGTGTTTTCGCTGAGTACTACAGGCCAAGTTAGTGTTTTTTTTTTTTTTTTTTTTTTTGACATGGGGTCTCACCCTCTTGCCCAGGCTGGAGTGCAGTGGTACAATCATAGCTCACTGCAACCTCAAATTCCTGTACTCAGGCAATCCTCACACTTCAGCCTCCTCAGTAGCTGGCACTACAGGTGTGTGCCACCACACCCAGCTGATCATTATTATTATTATTATTTTTTGTTTTTTGTTTTTTTTTTTTTTGAGGCGGAGTCTCGCTCTGTCGCCCAGGCTGGAGTGCAGTGGCCGGATCTCAGCTCACTGCAAGCTCCGCCTCCTGGGTTCACGCCATTCTCCTGTCTCAGCCTCCCGAGTAGCTGGGACTACAGGCGCTCGCCACCGCGCCCGGCTAGTTTTTTGTATTTTTTAGTAGAGACAGGGTTTCACCGTGTTAGCCAGGATGGTCTCGATCTCCTGACCTTGTGATCCACCCGTCTCGGCCTCCCAAAGTGCTGGGATTACAGGCTTGAGCCACCGCGCCTGGCCTTATTATTATTATTATTATTTTGAGACTGAGTCTTGCTCTGTCACCAGATTGGGGTGGGGTGGCACCATCTTGGCTCACCACAACCTCCGACTCCCTGGTTCAAGCAATTCCCCTGCCTCAGCCTCCTGAGTAACTAGGATTACGGGCACGTACCACCACACCCAGCTAATTTCTGTATTTTTAATAGAGATGGGATTTCACCATGTTGGCCAGGATGGTCTTGATCTCCTGACCTCATGATCCATCCACCCCAGCCTCCCAAAGTGTTGGGATTACAGGCGTGAGCCACCACGCCCAGCCCCAGCTGATTTTTATTTTTATTTTTTATAGACTGGGCTTTGCTGTGTTGCCCAGACTGACCTTGAACTCCTGGCCTCAAGCCACCCTCCTGCCTCATCCTCTCAGAGTGCTAGGATTACGGATTTGAGCCACTGTGCATGACCGTTAGTTAAGGATTTTGAACTTTGGTTTCTAGGTAGCCAGATTTGGCTGACTGGGTTGGCATTGGCAGCTTTACGCTTTACCCCGTTACTGGGTGTAAGGAGAAAGAGCAGGTTTCAGTGGCAAGTAGGGCTGGAGTGGGTTGTAAGGGTGAGCCCAAGTTTGAGCATACTCAGGTCATCTAGGTGGAAATAAGTAGTTGGGTATTTGCATGTGGAGCTCATGATCCCTGTTATTGTGACTATCTTGGCAGATCCTTCCAAACTTTTTTTAATAGACATACTGATTTTTAAAATAAAGTTTAAAAGACGATATACTGTGTGATTGTCTTTTTTGAGATTTCACAAAAAGCCTTTATAGCTCATCATTTTGTGTGAAAGGGGAATTTTAGGGATTAGCTGGAGATAGACATTTGGGAATAGCTACGATAAAGATAGTACTTGCTGATTCACCAAAACAAAAAGGTGTGTTAGATTTGAAAATTATGTAGGGA